TTTGGGAGGAAACCTGGTCACATGGCGCAGTAAGAAGCAGAATGTTGTGGCTAGATCAAGTGCAGAGGCAGAATACCAAGCTATGGCACACGGGGTTGCTGAACTGTTATGGCTCAGAACTCTTCTTAATGAGCTTGGTATTAAGGATGAGAGTCCTCTCAAGTTGTATTGTGATAATAAAGCCGCTATCAACATTGCCAACAACCCCGTGCAACATGACAGGACAAGACATATTGAAATTGATCGACACTTTGTCAGAGAGAGAATTGTTTCAGGAGAACTCTGTGTGCCTTATACTCCATCAGAGATGCAAATTGAAGATGTATTGACTAAAGGACTGGCAACAACAAAGTTCAGGGACATACTTGACAAGCTAAACATGATTGATATTCATGCTTAGCTTGAGGGGGAGTGTTAGAATGTTAGAATGATGTCTCTTTGTATGAGTGTTCGGCTGATAAGAGTTCTTACTAGCCCATACTTAAGTTTAAGTTATCCTGTAACTGGGCCTGTGTTAATGGGCCTAAGCCTGTTTAATGTTTTAAGTTAACTGGGTGTCCCATCACTAATCAGGGGCATTCCAGTACTTTCTTGTATCTTGTACAAGAAGCCCTTTTGCATATCTGTATTTTATACAAAATTTTATGGTTGCTTATAAAGAGGTAAGGAGAGATACAGCAACATGGGCAATTTGGGAAATGCAAGAATTTTCAAATAAAAACAGAGTAAGGAGGTGCTGATTGAATGTATAACCATTAGGGCGGTTCACTGGCTAAAATCTCTAGAGAATTTCAGAGTTTTCTCAGTGGATGATATCATTAGGAAGTGGCTAGCACATCATCAGGGAAAACTTTGATTAGTAGATTCTGGATAGCACCAGTTGATGAGTTCATAAAATTTAATTTTGATGGCAGTAGTATAGGGAATCCAGGCCTCAGGTGTGGGAGGCATTTCCAGGAATGAACCATATCATGTTGTGGCACTATTTTCAGGCCCATTGGCATTGGTGACTCTTGAAGGCTGAAATAATGGCAGTAATGGAGGGAGTACAAAGAGCAAGGAAGCTGAATGTACATAAACTGATCATAGCAGTTATTGATGCAGAGGTGGAAAGTGGGTCATTGGATGAGGAGAAAAGGAGGAGAAGGCTCTCAGCTAAGAAGGCGTTGATACTCTGATGCACCAAGCTGAAGTCAAGTGGAGGCAGAGAGCTAGAGTAATGTGGCTGGAAGCAGATGACAATAATACTGCTTTCTTCCATGAGGTGGCCAATGCTAGAAAGAGGGTTAACTCCATAAGAAAGCTGGTTTTGGAGGGCAGGACAGAGAACAATGAGAAAGTCATAGCAGATGCTTTTGTTGAATTTTATAAAGATCTTTTCAGGGAACCTTGCAAGAAAAGACCAAGGCTGGATGGTTTGACTTTTGAGTATTAATCTGAATAGCAGAGTTTAGATTTGGAAAAATTCTCAGAAGAAGAGGTTAAGAAGGTTGTAGAAGAGTTGGAAGGGGAAAAAGTGCCGGGTCCAGATGGTTTCACAATTCTGTTTTATAAGAAGTTCTGGGAGCTCATTAAAACAGATCTATTAAAGGTCCTGGAAGAATTTCATGATTCTGCAGCCCTTGAGAGAAGTTTAAATGCAACTTTATCTCCCTCATCCCCAAAAAGAAAGGAGCTACAGAGTTTAAAGATTTCAGACCGATTAGCTTGTGTTATCTCAGGGGCTTCAGCAGTTCGAACCAGAGGAAGAAGAAGAAGAAGAAGAAGAAGAGGAACAGTTGAATCTGATAGCATAAACCCTATCAGTCGACCCTAATATGAATTAGCCTCTAATTAGTTGTACAAAGACTAAACTGCCCCCCACTTAAGTATGGGACAGGAAGTCTCTATTAAAACTGCCACATAAGCACATAACTTAACAGAAATAAAATGACTAATCTACCCTTAT